TCATCTAGACTCTGACAAGTTGCTAAGTAACAACAGTAGACGGTGTAAAAGTCATGACGAATTTTGTATACAGGGCATATCTGTCCACTTTAAAAAAAAAAATCTAAGGTAAAGAGGGAGCTTAACTATTTAATGAACAAATGAGAAAAAGCTGCCTTCCACAAACCCCCTCCAAGGCACTAGACAGCTCTGTAAAATGTCTGTTAATAATTTAAGTACTTAAATAAGTTTCAGGCTATTCATTGGATGTTTGCCTGTGGGCTCGAACAACCTCCTGAGCCAGGTTTGACCATCCAGTTTGAAAGACGGTCCTTCCCTGCAAGGTCCCTTCAAGTGAGTACAGGATTGCTGGTGGCTTGGTTTGTCCATGGGAGAATAAGGCTTCTGTCGGTTCGGAGTGCCGGGACATGGCGGCTTCAGCTTATGTGGTTTGTTGCCTGGCCTCTTCTTTTTAGGTATCGTTTCCTGATTTTGATCATCCACTTCACACTTAGTTTGGCAAACTCTGCTGCTTTAAATAAGGCAAGGAAAGCCCCGCAGAGGAGTGCAATGGTGTTCCAGGGATTGGCCGTGATGATCTGTGGAACAGAGGAAAATGGGGTTGTTGGTTTGCATCGACCCTGACTCGACTCTGTGGTTTAGATTTTGGAGTCACCAGCACCATGTGTGTCCACTCATTCAGACTTAATAAATTCCCCCCAAGTCTTCTCATTTCAGTTACCGGTTTCCAGATGTGGCCCCTACACTCATCACGTGGACTCTGCCATTCCGCCTCTGCGCCTTCCTTCCTTCCCCTGCTGGGATGTTGTCCTGTCTGGACTTTATAATCCTTCCAGCTCAGCACTTTCTCCAGCCACTCAGCCAAAAACCTTTCTTTCACTGAAGTTGTTTATCCCATGGAGCCCCGTGACAGCCGTTTACTGTCTAGCAATGATTTAAAGCAATAGCTTGGTCTCCATTGAACACTCTTATCCCTGTGCAGTGCTAATGGATGGACTCAGCCTTGTGCATGCAGGACAAGGACTCTTCCATAGAGTCTTTTCCCTCACCAAACTTAGGTGAGTTCTGGAATTCCCACGTGTGGCTAAAAAAAAAAAAAAGCACTTGCAAGCCTGTTCACATATGCACAGTGGCCATACCTCTGCCTTCAGGACTGCTGGGGTGCATGCTTCAAGGGACTTCAAGGGCTCTACTTGGACCAAAATAAGCCTCTCCTAACAGGTAGCTCAGGTGAAGAGCATCAGGGCACATACCTTACGTGCACAGCTGTAAACCAGTTCCTTTCACCCTAGCTGTCCTAGCCTCAAGCCTCACCCCTCACACAGAGCCTAGGCCAAGGGTGACAGCAAAAATATATCCATCTCACAGACTCCATCCTGGGATCTGAAGTGTCCGTGTTTGAGCTTTAGAATCTCTTCCCTATTGCCATGATCATCTCAGGATGTCTTGTGATGACGTGAAGAAGGCCACTCTTAGCAGTACTTACATCCTGGACCTTCTGGATGAAGGGATCTTTCCATTCAAAGACCACAAAGAATAACTGAGTATTCTTCTCGGCGGCCGGCCTCTGGTCAATGTAATTAACCACACTGGTCTAGGTGCAGAACAGACAGAGAATTAGCACTTCTGGGCCCTCCCTTGCCTGGACCTGGGAAGAAGAAGCAGGAAGGGACTTGGCCCTTGGCTCTCCTAACAGCATCTTCCAGGGAAGGAAAGTCAAGTCTCATATACAAGACTTTTTCACTGGTACCAGAGCTGGCTGGGGCTTTACAGTTCTTTGGGAGAGAAAAGATTACAATGCCTGCCATCAGATGTTGGGACTCACAATTAAGCCATATTCAATCTACTACAGAAGACAAATTCAAAAGTCCCAAATTTCAAAATACTTGGGTCTTAAGGGATAAGCAGTCTAACCCTTCAAGTCTACAGGGACAAAGTGTGGCCCCCACTCCATGTGACAAGGCAGCTCTATAAGTACTTAGTAAGTATAAGATCTGCCAGTCAGCTATGAAAGAAGCTCCGTGAGATAATGGTGAGAAGACAAGCTTGAAAGGCACAGCCACCTCTGATCTGATGCTCACATTGGCCACAGAAAGTCAATGCTGAGATTTACTGCGGGCTGCCCGTGAGTGCGGTGACTAAGGACACGCCAAGCCTTTGTGGGACTGGGCAGTCATGTTACAATAGCATTTCGCAGTCGTTTTCAGGGTTTGTCACCACCGAAGGCAGGAAAAATCCTGTCCCTTGACTAGACCTAGGTGCCAGGGTTCCACGTGCCCAGAGAGAACTAGAAAAACCACCACTAAGGCAGAGGTAGGGCTAGGTTATTTCCAATTGTAATGGAGCAGTACTCCCGAAGAAGCAAGCAGATCCCTTCCCATCCCACAGACGTGCCTTTTCTGTCTTCCCCTGTTCTTCCCAGATCACAGTAAAAGGCCCCCAGCAATTCTCCTGCCTCAACCTGGTATGCTCCTGGCTCTGTGCCAAGGGACCAAAAGCTTTCTGATCAGCTCATCTTCTGCATCCTCACAGGTCATCACACCCCACTGTGGCTGGTCCCCTCATCCCCCACAATCCCTGGCAACATCAGGAAATGCTTCCCATGTCTACAAGGACAGCTAGTTTGTGGAGAACAAGCAAGCTGCTGTGGACTGCCTTCAGCACATGAAGCCTTCACAAGGACTACTAAAGATATCCTCATCCTAGGACCCTACCCAAAAGACCCTTCCCCTCAAAGTCTGCCTCCACCACAGATTCAACTGTGGAGATCATCATGTTTGCCAAGGAAACAGCCACTACCTCCTGCCGGAACTCGACAGCTTCTCGGCCGTCCTCCTCTTTGGTCTTCACCAGTGACATCTTGACCCAGGTGCGGAAGCCTCCTGAGAACTTCCAGCTGGAGTAGGCACTCTCACAGGCCTGCATGAAGCCTGCTTTGTCTGGGCTTGGGGAAGCGAGAGAAGGAAGGTCCAGGTTAATCCAGGCCCAACAGCTGGAGCCCAGTGTGGCCAAAGCAAACTCTAGTCCCGTATCAAGCAGGTTTCTTTTCTGGTACAACCAGGATGCTATGGATTCCCTGCTCCCTTTCCAGAATCTGACTGTTTTACCAGGGTTGTTGGTCAGTTAGCATCAAAAGCAAGGCCCAACGTGGCTATACCTTCGTTTGGTTTCCATGATCCCCGCCCCCCACCCTACCGCCACCATGGGCACACTCCTTCCCTCTCCCATCACCCCCCCACCAGCTCAGTCACCCACACTTGGGTTTCTGGAAGCACCCTGAACTATGGCTGAAGCATGGCGTGCCACACTCAGTGAAATTCAACCTCCCTCTGAGAACTGTAGATGAAGCAGAAGCTAAGCACAAGACAGCAAGTGTGCAGTGGCATCCACCTGTCACCTCAGCACCCGGAGGACAGCCTGGGCTACAGAGTAATACCCTGCCTCAAAAACAGAGCTTGGTCCTAGAAGGGACAGTTAGAACACCACCACCCTCCCACTGAAGGATCAGGAAAATTCTAACTGTAAACAGTTTACATAGAAAAAGACATGAAGGCAGACGGGAGACTCATTGGGGAGAATAAGGGTTTCAGTGGGGGAGATACTGAGGCCAGGGCTCAGAGATCCAGGGTGGGAAGGATGGCAGAGGTGGTCTGTGACTTTCTGTTCAATGGACAGTCACCTGCCTGCCACTGTCATGTATCGTCCTACATCATAGGAATGGAGCCTTCGGCTCAGCAAGACTAGGCAGGGACAGACAGGAGTATTCCTACTTTCTACCAAGTGTTTTAAGCCCCAGAGATGGCACTTAATTGTCCTTCAGTGTCTGAAGACAACAGGAGCTATCAGCGGGCAGGCATGGGCAGGCATGGGCAGGCATCTGCAGGCATGGGCAGGCATCTGCAGGCATGGGCAGGCATCTGCAGGCATCTGCAGGCAAGGAGGCGCCTCAGCAGCCGAGGCCGACCGCGCGCCCTCTCCAGGCGGCACTGCATCCACAGTTGCTTAACTGCAGCTAACGTAACGGACCACCAGGTTCTTAGGGTACCTCCTATCCTGAGCCAGCCCTGCTCCCCTTCCCCAGCTTCACCCCTACATTTCCAGCATGGACATGCGCAAGGCAGGAGACAGCCACCTTTGCATGAACTCGTGGAAAGAGGAGAAGAGGAGGTAGTCAATGGCACTGAAGTCCTCGTTGCTCTGGTTCAGGCTGAACTGGAGAAACACCAGCTCCCGCTTCTTCACTTCCTGTGGTCCCTGGACAATCAGGGCGGACTGCTGTGGGGAAACAAGTCAGCGTCTCAGTGCTCGGAGCTGCACGCACCCCCAGTGCCCGCAGAGGCTCACCCACAAGCACTGGCTGGCAGACCCACAGCAGGGCACCCAGCAGCCTCCAGCGACGGCAGCCAAACCCTCCTGCTCAGGGATGCAAGCTGGCCAGGGGGACTTCGCGGCACAGCACCTGAGCCCAGCTGAGTGTGACACATGTCCCCCTGCACAGGCTGCCCACGCTGTGGAGCACCTTTACTGGGTGAGGGCGTCTGCTCTCGCCTGTGGGGTTGGTGTGTCCCAGTTAACCTTGCTCCTGATGTCATCTACTGACGGGAGTTTTCGATTCAATACAGTGAATGAAGGCTGTTCGTCTTTCTCTTATGCCTTGTGGGTTGGCTTGCGAAGGAATGCCAGTACTTCCACATTCCCCAGGGTCATGTTTTAAATCTTACATATACATACTACGTACGCCTGGCTTTAGTTTTATGTGGCATTGCAAGCAACTGGCTCCCAACCTGCCTCCTGCCTTCCTGTACCCTGCACTGGTCTGTCCCTGAGCCAGGACTGGGCTGCCAAGGACATCACGCTGTTGAGGAAGGTAACTGTGCCCTGGGCTGGTCCGGTCCCTCCCACATATTCTTCCCAGAGCCCAGCTGTTGCAGTATGCGCTCCCCTCTCTCCTAAATGTACTTGAACAGTAGCTTGTAACGCCCAGCTAAACTCCCCAGGGCTTTCCACTGAGACAACTGGTGGAGTCACTGAGAAGATTACCTCCCCTCCCCTGGCCTCACTCTCCCTGGCCTCTAGTCTTCACCTCTCACCTTCCAGGGAGCAGGCATGTGCTCAGAAACTGGCCCTGACCATGTGGACAGACAGCGGCACTGCTGGGCAGTCCCATGAAGCAGCAGCGCCCGCGTGACCCTGCCCGCCAGTCAGGCTGCTCCCTCAGGAAGCGCGTTTCCACACAGGAGCCAAGCCTGTGCCCTGACCGGCACACTGTCGGATGCAACTCAATGCTACAGGAGGTAGAAAAGCCAGAGGCGCTATGAGCTTCACCTGTGGGTGGTGAGAAAACCAGGCAGTGGGGGGCACACCAATCAATCCTACAGACCAGAAAGGGGGTGGCCCTGGCTGTGCGAAAGCAAATCATTGGCTACAGGCAAACTACCATGAAATCCGGAGCACAAGAAACCAGGAAGTCAACAAAAACCTGAAGACTTAGGCAGGGACCCGATAAGACCCTCAACAGGGGTCACTGTCACGGGACTCAGTGGGCTCAGTCAGCCAGAGCCTGCACATTAACAGCTCCCTGCAGTGAGAACAGGCCACCTCCCAGCCTGCCAGCTCTCCCAGATAACTCAAACTGGAAGCAGATCCTGGGGAGGAGGGCAGGTTCCTAACATCCAGTTCTGATGTGACCAGCCAAGCCTGCAGCCATGCAGACCAGCCTGCAGATGAGGCCGCAGCAGCCACCTTCCCAAAGAGCAGCAGGAAGGAGCTGGCCGCACACCGCAGCAGAAATGCAGGCCCTGGGTGGCCATCACCAGGGCTGCAGAGCAGCTGTGAACACTCCAGTTGTCCCCTGCCACACAGGCCCTGGCTGGCTGTCACCAGAGTGGCGGAGCAGCTGTGAACACTCCAGTCATCCTCACCACGTGGACACAACGGTGCATCTTACTCCCCCTGGTCCTTTTTCAGAGACGGAGTCTCACTGCGGTGCTCAAGCTGAACTGGCCTTGAGCAAGGTCCTCCCACCTCAGTCTCCCATGTGCCCTGGATGCCCACACACCCCACACCAGTCTCCTCATTACGTCATTACACGCTGGGTTTTGCTCAGGGAGCAGGTGACCAGGGAGGAGGAAACTTCTTTGAGGTTCACAGCGTGTGGCTGGAAGGAGTTGATGGAGAATATTTACCATCCTCAGAACTGGAGGTGGTAACTGCACCTAACATCCTTCCCGTGAAAACACTTGACCTCTGTGCCCCTCATTTCACGGGTTCTATATTTAAATTATGAACTACCATAGCAATACAACAGTTTTGAGTGTGAGCGGCTGCCTCGTAGGAAGCATGCGAGGTCATGGGGGAGAGGAAGGGGTCCCCAGAACGGGCACAGCTGCACCAGGGCTATTGTGCTTCTCAGAGAGAATGAGGTGAGGCAGGAGTCCAGATGCCACTTTCCTGGCTGCGGTCCCCTCTTGACTGGATTCTGCCGGTTCATTTCAGGTCATTATTTCATGTTGGCTTTGTGACATCCAGTGACACCAACTGTCCATTCTCAGTTAGGAATACAGGATTCAGATGCCAAGTAGTGGCCCAAGGGTGGACAGACGTCTCCCTAGTGCTTACATCTGTTTGCCTAACACTCTCCACCCACGGGAGCACTGCAGCTGTGGACAGGGAGCACCAGCAGGCCAGGTTTCCGCCTGAGATGCCTGCAGCAGTTCTGCCTCCACACCTGAGCAGAGGGCCTTCCCTCAGCCCGTGCAGAGGCTGTCCTGAGGCCTGGCACCCAGAGACACACCTTGCCCAGCAGCTCTGCAACCAGAGAGGACAAAGTCCCGGAGTCCCAGCCATCAGCCATGCTCTATAAACTCAGTCACTCAGTCATGCTGAGCTGGGGGCCAGAGGCCGGCACCACCCAGCAGTCCTGTCCTGGGTTATGAGCCTTCTCTGATTGGCCAGCTCCATCAACCAGTTCCAATCAGTAATCTGCATGGTACACTAGCTCCTCCAGCCTTCTGGTCTACCAGTGTGCAGGGCTGTCCTCCTGTCCTATCCTATCCTGTTCTGTAAGGAGCAGAAATCCTTTCATCAGGCTTTTTTTTTTTTTTTTTTTTTTCCAGGAAGTGGCCTGGCCTGGAAACCAATCAGCTCGAGTCTCGGTGCAGTTTCTTCAACTTGTGGTTCCTCTCACTCCATGGAGCAGGACTGGCCCCACAGCACGACACACTCCTGTCCTTTTTTCTGTCCCAAGCCACATCTCACATACCCCTCCGGCTCTGCATGGTCACCAGCTGAGCTGTGATGTAGGATGTCAGCAATCCTCACCACCCAGTGCACCCAGCTTCACATTGGCAAATTTCTCAAAATATGGATTCCTTGGCCCCACCCACAGGAATGGTGACAATTCCTGGAAACTGGATTTTCAGTGACACTGATAACCACAAGCAGACTCACCTGCAGCCCTGCTACCCTCCAGTCAGGCAGGAAGCCCTGAGGGTTATCAGCCCCAGTGGCACGTACTTTGCCGCACCTCTCACCTGCCAAGGACCAAGGGCCCATGCCTGCAGGCTATAAGAAAAGGAAAGCTATGATCCCTTGGAGGTATGGCTAACAACACACACAACCGAGGGAAGCAGGCATTACCATGGTGTGATTGGAGAAGGGATGGGTGTAATTGATCCTCTGGGTGGTGCAGTTCCTGTCTCCCGGCTGGCCAGGGCTGGCAAGAGGTGGGATGACCTCATAGTGGTGCTTACAGCTGAGCAGCTGAGCCTGACCAGGGTATAGGGCGATCCCTGGAACAAAAGAAACCGGCAAGTGTCAGAAGTCACAGTCCTGCACACTCTCCATCAGCTCACACCTCCCTCCTTGGGAAAGTGCCAAGGACCAGAATAGGGGGTGGAGGCACAGGCACAGCCCCACTCCAACGGAGGGCACGCCCCGCCTCAGTCACCCTGCCCCGCCTGGAATGGCTTCCGGGACTCACAACACTCCCACCAGAGTATCCCACAGGCACAGTGAGGTGCTGCAAAGGCTTTGGGCTGTACGGTTCCTCAGGGCTCATTTTTCCTCTCTGCTGGGAGTTCCAAGAACACACACCCCACAGTGTCCTGGGTGCTCTCAACTCAGGCTCCCAGGCCAGGACCCTGGAGCAGAAACACCGGCAATGACACATGGTATCACACGCGCCAGAGCTGAGGGATGAGAGCAAACACCGCCAGAAGGGCCCAGAGAGCCCCGACACAGCAAGAGCCAGGCAAGAAGGAAATCATCAGGCCTGGCTGCGGGGTAAAGTCTGGGAGCTCCTGCAGGGGGACCCCCAATGCTGGCTCTAGCCTGTGTGCAGGATGTCCTGGTGTCACTCGGGGCCAGAGCAGGTGGCACACTCAAGGTGGGCAGGGCCTCAGCCCACATCCCTTCTCTGATGCCACTCTACAGGGCCAGGCAGATCACCCACCGTGGCAGATGACAGTACTCGGGGATCAGTCACCCCAGCGTGCAGAGAAGGGTCCACAGAGCAGCCGGAGCCCTCTGGGCTAGGCCCTGTCTGGCTGTGTGCACCTGCCTCCATAGCCCACCACCTTTCCAGCCCTGCCCCAGCCCTTCTCCAATGACAATGGCCCCATGGACTCCGACGTTGAGGAGGTGGTCCCCGGTTGGAGGAACTGTTTTGGGAAGGCCTTGTTGGAAGAGGCGTGTTGCTAAGGGCAGGATTGAGGTTTCAAAAGACTGATGCCTGTTCCCAGTGTGCTCTCTGCCTCCTGCTTTCCATTCCAGCTGTGAGATTCCAGCTGTTCCTGCTGCCATGCCTCTGCTCCCCCACCACAGCCTCTAACCCTCTGACACTGTAAGCCATTAAGTGCATTCTTTTATGTTTCCTTGGCCATGGTGTTTTGTTACAACGGTAGAAAAGTAACTGACACTCTGCCCTGTTCCCTGGCCTTCAGCTGAGGCCCACTGCCTCCCTGCACACACACCCAAGGCCCTGCTCCTCCTCCCACAAGCACTTGCGGCCCACCTCATGCCTAACAAAGCCTGGCTCCAATTCCACCCTCCCTGCCCACCCAGTGCCCCACGGCCTGGCGCTGGCTCTCAGATGCACACCTACCACTAAAGTCTGTCCTGCTCCACTCCGCCTGTGCTGGGAACACAATGGTGGCTCAGGGAGGCAGTGTCTGCAAAGCCCCAGAGCAGGGGCGCTGATGCCTGGCCCAGCAGGCCCTACCTGGAGCATCGTAGCGGTCCACCTCCTTGTAAGACACAGACATCACAGGGTGCTTGAGCTTTTCTCGGAAGTCCGTGATGGTCTGGTAGACCAGGAAGACAGCCACAGCCATGAGCAGCAGGTAGATGAAGATGAGCAGAACCGAGAAGACATTCTTCAGGCAGGTCTTGCTGAAGCGGATGCTGCTGGAGGCAGATTCGCTGTCCACACCTGCCCACAGGACAGCAGAGTCACCAGAGCATCCAGCCATGGTCTGCTACCACCAGGCCCTCACCTACCTTATGGAGGAGGCAAGGCTACCTCATCACAAAGGGTACCTAGACACATCCGCTCCATACCACCCCTCCTAGCCAAGGCCACCAACGTTACCACATTTACCGTCTGCAGGGACTGGTGGTCTCAGTCAGACTCACATGCTCTCCTCCCCCCACCCCACCCCCCTTCATAATAACTTTCCCATCTTTCAGTCCTGGAACTGCTCATATCTGTGGTGGTATTGTGTTCCCCAAAATACTGTGCACCCTAATAAACTTATTTGGGGTCAGAGAACAGAACAGTCACTAGATATAGAGCCAGAAAATGGTGGCACACACACCTTTAATCCTGTCACTTGGGAGGCAGAGATCCATCCGGATCTCTGTGAGTTTAAAGCCACACTGGAAACAGTCAGGCATGGTGACTCACGCCTTTAATCCCAGGAAGTGATGGCAGAAAGCAGGAAGGTATGTAAGGTGTGAGGACCAGGAACTGGGGCAGGTTAAGCTTTTATGCTTTGAGCAACAGTTCAGCTGAGATACATTTGGATGAGAACTCAAAGGCTTCCGGTCTGGGGAAGAAACAGGATCAGCTGAGGAACTGGCGAGGTGAGGTAGCTGTGGCTTGTTCTGCTTCTCTGATCTTCCAGCGTTCACCCCAATACCTGGCTCAGGTTTGATTTTATTAATAAGACCTATTAAGATTCGTGCTACACACATCTGCCATTCCTAGGCCTGTTCTGAAGCACTGTTCATAACCAACTCTGACCTGTCTTCACTTAGAAATGCCTTTTCCCAAGGAAACCTCCTCTTGGTGGCTAATCGGCAGGGTCTCCGTGCTGAGCAGTGCACTCCTGTCCCTCTGCTATGGGATCCAGACACCATACAACCAGCAACCACCTGTCACCGCTGCCTCGTGACATGACGGACTGTGTCCTCTCAAACCCCTCCTTCCCTGAGGTGCTTCCTGCCCGGACACCAGCACTGTGGGGCCTTGACCTCAGACACGGCGGTGCCAGGCCTGGGGGTTCCTGATAAGAGCCACCCAGGACGGTGCTTGCTACGGCAGCCTGCATTCACCTTCCCATGATGCTTCTGCCCTTCAGCTCACACCACAGCTCCCTGAGGGAAAGGCCTGCTGTCTCTGTGACTTCCAACAGGGACCAAGTGGCGTGGTCACACCACCTTCCTCAGATGACCACGGTAAGATCTGAACAATGTACTGAAGTTTAATGAAGGCATTAAAGAATGGGCAAACGCAGAGGAGAATATCACCGTCTGGAGATAAGCATGGCCTGTGAGTGCCTCACGTTTTGCCTGAGGTTCATACCAACCCCCTAATGACATGGTTCAGGGTGCCAGAGTTCAGGGCTAAATGTGGGAAAATTCTGAAGGTAGGTGAGTCCCAGAGGTGAGGTCCCTAATTCTGCAAATGACTGATATGCTCAAATCATTGGCTGGGGACCCCAAGGGGCGGGGGAAGCAGAGCTGAAGTTTGAAGAGAAATGGGTGATTCCAGCGGCCACCATGAAAGGCAGTCAGCGCCTCAGAGCTTCCGCCCTGCTGTGCTGAGACGAAAGTACTTCAGACCCACAGCAGAATCCAGACCTACAGCTGTATCACTGCTCTCCTCGGTCTGCCCAGGAGATGCACCTCAGGAGACTGGGGCTTTCCAGAGAGAACTGGCCCAGGCAGGAGGGAGGATCTGCAGTCAAAGTGAGCACCATCTGCCAATGGGCTGCCCAGATAGGAAGTGTCCTGAGGAGAAAGCAGCATGGCCTGCCTGCTTGGCTGCTTCCTGAGTGAGTACTGCCAATCCCTGCTAACGCCTAACTTCAGCTTCCCAGGCCTTCCAACCTAGACAGAACGCCAGCAGCTCTCGAGGAAGCTTCCAGGTTCCTAGCACCAGGGGGACTGCTGAGGCACCAAGCTCTGTGGACGAAGTCTCTCCCAGGTTCTGTGCCTCTCCTGCACAGACAGCCACTGCTGGACTTCATCACGTAAGCCTGTCTACAAATGCTTTTACACACACACACACACACACACACACACACACGCACACGCACACGCACACGCACACGCACACGCACACGCACACGCACACGCACACGCACACTTGCATTCTATTAGTTCTGTTCACCTAGAAGAACATGCCTAACACACCAGTGTTCAATTAAAAATTACTAGACATGAGGGGCTGGAGAGATGGCTCAGCAGTTTAGAGCACTTTCTGCTCTTCCAGAGGACCTGGGTTCGATTCCTAGCAGCGACAGGGTAGCTCACAATCATCTGTAACTCCAGTTCCAGGTAATCCAACACCCTCTTCTGACCTCCACTGGCACCAGGCACACATGTAGCGCACAGACCTATATACAGGCAAAACACTAATACATACAAAATAATAAAGATGTGTTTTAACTACTAGACATGGGAAGAATAAAAGGTGATGTGACTCAGGACCGGCAGACACGGCTCAGCAGGGAAAAGCATTTGCCACAAGCCTAACAGCATAAGATCCATCCTCAGACCCACATGATGGAAGGAGGAAAGAACAACTTCTGCAAGCTGTCCTCTGACCTCTACCCGTGTGCCATGGCACGTTTGTATGTGCACACACACACACACACACACACACACGAGTATGCACGCATGTGTACACACTAAATGTTTAAAGATAAAAGGAAAAGAAAATACGACATAGTCAAGGAAAAACAAGCATCCACAGAGATTAACTCAGATAAGCTGCCCACTGGGCCACCAAGCATGGGAAGGTTGTGTGCCTGCTCCATGGTGCTGTTTCTCCCTACGTCCATTTCACTTCCTGTTGCACGGACCCTAATTGGTTTTAATAAAAACCCAGAGCCAGATATCAGGGTGAAAGCTGAAAGATCAGAGAAGCAGAGCAAGCTACAGCCACCACCTCTCACCTCACCAACTCCTCAGCCTAAAAGCCGGAGTTCCTGTCTCCTCCCGCCTTATACTCCTTTCTCTGCCCAGCCATATCACTTCCTAGTGCTGGGATTAAAGATGTGTGATCCCAAGTGCTGGAATTAGAGGTGTGTGCCATCACTACCTGGCTTTGTTTCTTTCAGACTGGATTAATCTCATGTAGTCCAGGGTGGCCTTGAACTCACAGATCTCTGCCTCCCGAAAACTAGCATTAAAGGTGTGTGCCACCACGGCCTGGCCTCTGAGTTTAACCTGGTGGCTTGTTCTGTCCTCTGATCTGCAGGCAGACAGCACCCGGTCTCCAGCATCGTTCTCCCTGGTTAACAGGCTGTGGCTGTGCGGCCCTCGCTCCTGCCTTCTTCACCACCAAGGGGGACGCAGAGGAGCGTGTCTGCTTCCTCAGCAGCATAACTGCTCCCGCCCGCCCGCCCGCCGAGTGCTCTCTGCAGAGTTTCTAACAGCCCTGTAACCAACGTCATTGTTTCCTACCAAGCAAGGCTCTCAGAGCTGTGAGCATCCGGGCTTCTCAAACAGTCAGAAGCCCAACCCCAAACTCCACATTGGCTCCTGCTCCCGATCAGGTCATGAGTCTGCTCTTTCAGTTCAGAAAATAAGAAAATAAAGTATTTTCTGTCAGGATTCTCGGGTGCCGCAGGCTCAGGTCAGCCAGACCCTCTCTGCAAAGTCTCCGCTCCTGCTGCCCTTCCCTCCACCCTAAACTCGTTAGAACGAGGTGAACAAGCTGCAAGAAGCTACTGCACTGCCCAGCACAGCAACGTCACACAACAAACCAACGCGCCGAGGTGCGTTTTCAAGAGGCCAATTACTGCGGAGGCCACCAGGTACGGCAGAAGTAACTGGTCCACTACACACAAGTCTTCACACTGGACCAAAAAAGATGCAAACTCAAGGTTACATTATGCTTCCAAAAGAGTGTGATTATTAGCAGAAGTCCCAAAGAAACCCAGACAGATAAAATGCTTGGTAAAGGATTCAAAATGTGATTAAATAGTTCAGTGTAGCTGGGAAGACAACACAGGATGTGAATAAGAAACGTGGGGGCAGCGAGAGGATGCAGAGAGAAAGGCACAGAGCCTGTTCATCTTTCTTAGTGCTTGTGAAAAACGTTAAGGGAACAGAAACCTATTCAATAAAACAGGAGAGAAAACCATCCTAATCTCGGGAAGATGTGGACACTGATGTTCAAAAGCTTTAGGAACCCAAACAGACATGACTAGGAGAGATCGCCATGGCATGTTCTGGTGCAGACATGACTAGAAGAGACATCTAACCATGGCATGTTATGGTGCAGGCATGACTGAGAGACATCTAACCATGGCATGTTATGGTGCAGACATGACTGGGAGACATCTAACCATGGCATGTTATGGTGCAGACATGACTAGAAGAGATTTCCACCATGGCATGTTATGGTGCAGACATGACTGGGAGATATCTAACCATGGCATGTTATAGTGCAGACATGACTGGGAGACATCTAACCATGGCATGTTATGGTGCAGACATGACTAGAAGAGATTTCCACCATGGCATGTTATGGTGCAGGCATGACTAGGCAACATCTAACCAGGGCATGTTATGGTGCAGACATGACTGGGAGACGTCTAACCACAGCATGTCATAGTAAAACTGCCAAAAGCACAAGACCGAGCTGTAAAATCTGCAAGACAAAAGTCACACTAAGGACATCCCCCTTAGACCAACAGCAGACCCCTCGGTGGAAACCCTGCAACCAAGGGTTATTACACTCAGCAATGCGATCTACCCTTCAAGAATATGGGAGAAATAAAGGCCTTCCAAGACAAAAACCTGAAAGAATCCATGTCCACAGAGCAGCCTTACGGAAGCTCAAGGCAGCCTGTGTTAGCCAGCTGCATGTCCCCGTGATTGCATGCCTCAGTGGGACAACTTACAGGCTCCCAAGTCTCAGAGGCTGCTCTGTGTAGAGCAGATCAGTGGCTCACCTCGGAGTATCAGGAAGCAGAGAGAGGGTGCCCATGCTGTGGCTTCCTCCC